AGCCCTCCTCTCTCATTATTCACCTGCATCCTAATGCTCCCTCAGAGACGAGTTTAATTAACACTGGATACTTACCCCCCACACACCTCTTTTCCTCTTCACTTTCTGCTGTTTTTGGCCTCAATGTCTACTCATGATTTTCTTTTTATCTGGAATGCTCTCATCTCCATTATTTCCATTTTCCAGAGTAATGAGGAGTTAGTCTAGCCTCACTTTCTCCCGGAAGATTTTTTTCAGGTTGAATTCCCTAACTTTCTTTCAGTGTATTGCCATTATCTGATGATGTTACACAAGATTATAAACTTCTTAAGGTCATGGACTCAATTTATTTGACCTGGTATCCTTGGAAACTAGTGTACTGTCTTCTACAGACCAGATACTTAGTGCTTGATCACTCAAGAAATAAAGGGCTCCATTAGTGAAGGAGGCTTCTTGGGGAGATGAAACTTAAGCTGGTCTTTGAGGATTTAACAGTGAGCAGGGGAGTGGAAAATGGGATTCTTTGACAAAGGCACAATTGGCCTTAAATTACATGCAGTGAGAAGTCTCCCAATGCCTTTGGCCCTGAGTCATTCATTTTCCCACCTCTTAGGTAATTGCCATTCTATGCTGTTTGCATTAAAGAACTTACATTTTATGTGATGATAAATATAATATGTTTATGAATCTCATAACATAGAAATTAACACTTGAATTTTATATATGTGAACATATACAATTAGCTCTATTTTTTCCTTTATTATTCTCCTCTGCTCTGAATTATACAACATATTCTCATTATGATTAGTAAAAAGCACACGTCATCTTGGATAGTATCCAAAAATCCGCCCTAATGGCACACGGATTCATTTTTAATATCTTAAAAAAATGCCATGCTCAATTATGCCTCCTGACTTTCATATATTCTCTCCTGCTAGAGGTACCTTGCCCAGTTCTCTACCTTTTGCCTGGTCCTTTTTTATCTGGCCTTCAAAACAGCCTATAAGTTGCATTCTTCAGGAAGCCTTCCCTGACCTTAGTTCCTATACCCTTTGCTCCACATCCTTGGTCGGGGTTTGTTTTCTCTCTGCACCCATACTTCCCTCTCATAATCATTTATCACATTTTAACTATTAACTCTTGCACAGTATTGAAAGAATGAAGCTAGTATTTCAAGAAAGTTATTTTGGTAAGAGAGAGTCATAAACAGAGACTAGACAACTACACAGTAGATCATCAGCCTCACATAAGAGTAGGAAGAAAGGAAAAAAAATATATAAATTTCCCAGTGAATAGTTGATGAAATTTCATTGATTAGAGATGGAGAAGGAAAGGGGGTGTTGAAATAAAGATGACTCTGAGAGAGTGACCACGGGATTCACATAGAACTTTAAAGCCACTCAGCTGGCTGTAGCTTTGGAGGATAAAAGGATCTGTTGTTTGGGAATATGTCTACCAGACATTTGTAGGAAATTACACTGGTGCAGATGAAGGAAACCATGACTGATTATACAGATTTGGCTGCTAGAATTTACTGTATAGTAGCAGGTGGAATTAGTAGGTCAAAGGGTTTTGAAAGACTAAAATTGTGTTAAATTCTCTTGAACCTTGAACATGCACAGTTAAGGAAGGCAGAGAAGAAAGAGAGCTGGAAAACGAGTAAGAACTGAACAGAGGATAGACAAAGACTTTTTAAAAGTAATTCTCATTTGAAGACTCATTTTCATCCTTTTTGTTTTAGTCCTATGAATCTTACATTTGCCATAGAAGAACTAGAGATGCACAACAATTTCTCCTAGAGATGCACTAAAATTTCTCCAATTACTGCCAAATAGAAACCTGGATGATCCACATGGAAATTTCCTCCTTAGAAAACCAAACTATTGCTGAATTTGTCCTCCTTGGCTTCCACGACATCCCTGAGCTGCATTTCCTTTTCTTTATTGTGTTCACTGTTGTCTACGCCTTCATTGTCATAGGGAATATGCTGATCATTGTGGTAGTGATTAGCTCCCAGAGGCTGCACACGCCCATGTACTTCTTTCTGGCTAATCTGTCCTTCCTGGAGATCCTCTATACATCCACAGTGGTGCCGAAAATGCTGGAGGGCTTCCTGCAGGAGGCAGCCATCTCTGTGACTGGTTGCTTGACCCAGTTCTTCATCTTTGGTTCTCTAGCCACAGCAGAATGCTTCCTACTGGCTGTTATGGCGTATGATCGCTTCTTGGCAATCTGCTATCCACTTCGCTATCCGCTCCTGATGGGGCCTAGATGGTGCATGGGGCTGGTGGTCACAGCCTGGCTGTCTGGTTTCATGGTAGATGGATTGGTTGTGGTCCTGATGGCCCAGCTGAGGTTCTGTGGCTCCAACCGCATCGATCACTTTTACTGTGACTTCATGCCTTTGGTGGTCCTGGCTTGCTCAGATCCCAGAGTAGCCCAGGTGACAACGTTTGTTCTCTCTGTAGTCTTCCTCACTGTTCCATTTGGACTGATTCTGACATCCTATGCTCGCATCGTGGTGACTGTGCTGAGAGTTCCTGCTGGGGCCAGTAGGAGAAAGGCTTTTTCCACATGCTCCTCCCACCTTGCTGTAGTGTCCACCTTCTATGGAACTCTCATGGTCTTGTACATCGCGCCCTCGGCTGTCCACTCCCAGCTCCTCTCCAAGGTCTTTGCCTTGCTCTATACTGTGGTCACTCCCATCTTCAATCCTGTCATCTACACCCTCAGGAACAAGGAGGTTCATCAGGCACTACAAAGGCTTCTTCAAATTAAAAAAATGGAAACATTTGGTTGAAGAAAGAGGGTAATGAAGATTTTATTTTGGACTTTGGACGTCTCCACTGAGAAGTCTCCAGAATTGGCTGGAAAGGAATAACTGTTGTATTCCAACCTTTCCCTTTGGCTCTTCTGTAGTTAAACCAAAATACACCAAAAAAGAAGAAACAGAGAAGTACTTTTCAAATGTTAGTTTAAAAACTTATTTAAACTTCTTTTAGTTTTTTATTAAATATGCCATAAATATTACCCTGAATTGATCATTACCCATAGTATATGCTATATATGTATTGAATATGAATATATGAATTATCACATTGTACCCCATAAATATATATAGGTAAAATAAGAAGAAGAAAAATGAAAATAGAGAAGCAAAACAGTAATATCAAAACAATTTAGAAATATTAACTATATTATTGCTAGATGATATTTCAAAATTTCTTTCTACTTATTTATGTATCATAGAGTTTGAAATCTGGTTTTCCATTGAGCACTATGTCATGAACAACTTCCTATATTAAAAAATATCTACTTCTTTATTCTTTTGGGCTTCATAGTATGGCTAACCATGATTTGCTTAAATAATCTTCTATTGGTAGGAATGTTTTAGTTGTAATTAGTTCTTTTATTATGTGTAAATTGTGAACATTCAGGTTTTTCTATAATACATTTTTTGGACATAAATTGCTAGATCTAAGGATATGTATATTCAAAAATATTTAAAGATGAATTCATTTTACTTATTCATTTTTTAAATTTTTATTGTAGAAGATTTAAATGTATACAAAAATAGAGAGAATGGCACAATGAGTCCCAATTTGCCATCTGGCTTCAACATAAACATTTGGCTAATTTTGTTTGAATTCTCTACAGCTCCTTTTTGCTTGTTTGTTTTGCTAGAAAATACCACCACACAAATAAAAGTAGATGTAAAGTAATGCATTCTGTCTTATCAATGGGAAGGAAAGAAACAAATTCCAGATGCTGGGTAAATATGTTGTGCACATATATATTCCACATGTATTTAGTATATTCCTTTCCTGATTCAGACATTAAAAAACCATGCCCACCAGGCCATTAGAGTACTTAACAAATTATCAATATTTCCTTAATATCATCTAATACACAAGACATGTTCAAATTTCTCCATTGATCTTTAAACAATTTCTTAAAATTAGTCAGAGAATATATCAGCTTGGATTATCCATTCAATCATTATTTGCTTGAAAATAATTTCTGAACACCTGCTATAGGAAGTCGTTAGATTAGAAATGAAAAGAAGGTATTAACTTTTAGATGACCCAGGAAGAAAGTCTAGACTAAGATGTGAACATGGAAAAGAGAATCCATTCTGAGAACTCCAGAAATATTCTTCTTATGGCAAAGTTATACCTATCTATGTATCAAGTTATTCACCCAAATAGAATTAGTCATTAAGTGTTTCAACTGATCATATAATTCATAATGTACAATAACATGAAATACAGTGGATGATATACAAATTAACAGAACACATAGTCTTCTTTTGATATAATGTATATGGTGTATAAAGGAACACAGGCCAAAAACATCATAGTGACTAAAAAAAATAGCGTGTACTGTTTTTATAATGCAAAGATATCACCCACATCACCCGTTGTCAGTCTGTATTTGAAGGATCAGTTCATTCATAGAGCAATGAACTATTTTATTTTTTTCACTTAAAACTTAATAAACACATAAACATATATAAGAAATATTCATTTATTCTATTATAAAAAAAGAAGTGTTTTCAAAAATGCCCTCTTGTTTTTAGCTGTCTTCCAATTCTCAGCCATTGAATCAGAAACTAATCAGAAAGTCTCAAACATCACACAAACACATGGATATATAAAACATTCTGAAAAGAGAGAAACTAAAGGGGGGATAAGTTTGGTGTCGGCCCAGTTTCCTTTCTCTTATTATTGATGATGGTACTGATGATATCGATTATCTTTGTTGATGACAGCAAAGATGACTTTGACTATAGCAAAGTGATGGGGAGGAACTTCAGTATTAAACCCCAGAGAGAAATGCTCATGGTTATCAAATGTTGTAGTGATGTGAATGCATAATCAAAAGCTATTTAAAGAACAGCCAATTCAATCCAGTGTTCTTTTCAGGGAATCATATAATGCTCTAACACGGCCATGATTTTGACCAACTCTCTTTGTTACTGTAGTAGTGAAATAGGGAGTAATTTTTCTAAAAGTACATGGTTATTGGGATGATCCATAATCCTGAGAACTCTCCATGCCCAGGATCCTTTTCAATGAACTCTTTACATTCTTATTTCTCAGACTATAAATGAAAGGGTTTAGAGTGGGAGTTACCAGGGTATACATGACAGCAGCAACCAGCTCCCCAGAGGAGTGAGAAGTTGATGGGGGCTTCAGGTAGGTGGCAAATACTGTGCTGTAGAAGAGGATGACCATGGAGAGGTGGGAGCTGCATGTAGCCAGAGCTTTCCTTTTCCCCTGTGCTGATGGAACTCTGGCCACAGCATGGAAAATACGGGCATAGGAACTTATAACACAGAAGAGAGCACTGATTCCCAAAACCCCAGCCAGAGCCATTGTCAGGTCCTCATTGAGTTGGGCATCAGAGCAAGAAAGCCATAAGAGAGGGCCAAAATCACAAAAAAAGTGAGGAATCTCTTGATTAACATGGAAAGATAGCTGGGATAGCAACAAGATATGGACTAGAGAGACCAAGTGGGCTACTCCCCATGATATACCCACAAGCACCCCACATCTGGAAGGTCTCATTACAAGTGGGTAATGCAGTGGATAGCAAACAGCAGCATAGCGGTCAATGGCCATGATCGCTAAGAGTAGATTGTCCATGTCAGCAAAAACAGCAAAGAAGTATAATTGGGTCAGACACCCAGAGAAAGAGATGGATCCATTGTGGGTCCACAAATCCTCTAGCATTTTAGGGGCTGTGGTAGTAGTGAAGCAGAGATCCACCAGAGAAAGCTGGCTGAGAAAGAAGTACATGGGAGTGTGGAGGTGAATGTCAGTGCCAATGGCCAGCAGAAGGAGTGAGTTCCCAAGGAGGCCCAACAAATAGAGAGCCATAAAGAGACAAAAGAGGAACTGCTGGTTTTCTGGATCACTGGACATCCCTGAGAGGACAAAGTCAGGAGTCTTGCTGCAGTTCATTCTGGTCCTTATTGTGCTTCAAGAAGGATTTGGTGTGAAGAGGATCCACTCCTTGCAGACACAAATGTGCAGTAACCTGGATTCTGTCTTCTGTCAACGTGTCTCTCTTACACCAACTGAGGCTTGTAAACTAAAATATCAATGGGAGGGACAAGAGTTGGAATTTAGAAAGGACAGTCAACTGAGGAGGCACAAAGACAATGGATTGAGGGGAACAGAATTTCCCTAGCATTCTATAAGTGTGCAAGTTCTGTGTAGATTAAACTTTGTATTATGTGATATTATTACCACTTGTTTGTGATTCTGTTTTTGACCATTATTTCTTTGAAGGCAAAAGCTGCATCTCTGTATTTAGCTCAGTGCTTGGCACATAGTTGCAGCTCAATAAATGTTCCTATCTACATGGTAACTATTCTGGTTCATGCTTTGGTTGATTGACTAGAATATTACCAGCCTTCCATCTGGTGTACCCTGCCCATTCTTGCCTCATCTAATGTGTTGTTCACAATGCAGACAGAATCATCTTTTCAAAAAAATTATAACTATGTTATTTTGTTTAGGTAGGCAACCACAGAACCATTGCTTTTATGAAAAATGCACAATCTTTATCATGTCTTACAAATCTCAATGGCTTTTATTTTTTTTGTAGTACTGAGGATCAAATCCAAGGCCTTGTACACTAAACAAGGGCTCTATCTTTGCACTTTATTCCCAGTCCTCCTCAGTGTATCTGGTTTTGAGGTACCTCCCCAGCCTCACATTGCACTTCAGTCCACTCATTTTCTGTTGTGTAGCCACAGTGGCTGTGCTGCACTCCCTCAAGAATACCCTCTTGCTTCCCTCCACTCTTAGCTTCTACTCATTATATTCGTTTGTCTTCTGTTGGTAATAACACAATACCATAGGCTGAGTAAGTTATTAAAAAAAGGTTTATTTTGGCTGAAAGTTCTGGGCCAAGTCTGAGGGGCTGTGTCTGGTTTTTCTGGCAGTGCCCCAAGTTTGTGCAGAGCATCTTATAGAAAGACCTGTGTGTGTGTTTTCTGTTCTCTTTCTTTGTATAATACCAACAGTATTCAATCATAGGGGCTCTACCTTAATGACCTTTTCTAATCCTAAGGACCTCCCAAAGTCCCACCTCTATACACCATAGTCAGGTCAAGTTTCCACTCTCTTACTACCTCGAACTGATAATTCATATCTTAAATGAATTGTTCTTTGGAGTTTGGGTGGTGGCAAACCATATTCAAACCATAATATTCCACCCCTGTTCCCCTTGACTCATTCTCACATACAAAATACAATGATTTCATCCAAACAGTCCAAAGTCTTTAACTCCTTCTAGAATTAATTCAAAACTTCAAAGTCTAGGGTCTCGTTTGATACGATGGCTAACTTCTTCCAACTATGAGCTTATAAAATCAAAACAAGTTATTTACTTCCAATATTCAGTAGTGGGCACAGGGTAAACATTCCATTCCAAAAGGAAAGAATAGGTAAGTATAAGGAGTAACCAACCCAAAATGAGTTCAAAACCCAGGAAGATAGACATTCACTCTTAAAGTGCCATTTCTGGTATCTTGCACACAGTGGGACTAGGGCTGGGTCTCACAAGGCCTCAAGAAGCCCCACCTCCATGGCTTTGTTGGGCTTATCTCATACTTTAACTCTTTTGGTTTGGAACCTCATGATTGCAGTTCTCTCAGGCTACCATTCTGAGGTCTTGGGGGTTCTGTTCCCACAGCTTCATTAGTCATTGTCCAAGGGGGCTCTGTGCAGCTCTGCCCCTGTATCAGGCCTCTGTCTGGCCTCCTAGACTTTCCTTTGAACTCTCAGTGGAAGTGGCTATGACCTCATCATTGTCGTGGTAAACCTGCTTGAACCATGGCTGGAGCAGCTGTGGTGTGCTTCACCAGAGAGCAGGGAGCCAAATCCCAAGTTGGCCCTGGGTAGTGAGACCATGAAGAGCTCTGCTACCTGTGATGGCCTGTGATGGGAGGTGCCTGGTAGGCCTTTTCCCCTTGTCCTGAAGATTTTGGCACGTGGCCCTCTTTTATCCATGCTAATTTCTTTGGAAATTGGCACTTGGATTGCATGCTTTTTCTTCTTTCTTTCCATGGTCAGACTTTTAATTTCTCTTAGCTTTTAGCTTTCCTTTCCATTTAATTATGTGCCTCAGTCTGCCTTCAGGTTATACCATTGCTCCTGAAGCCTATTGTATACAATTAAAAGTTACCAAGAAAAACCATGACTGAATTTTATAATGTTGTTTAGATATTTTCTTCACCAGCTATCACAGTTCATCACTTTTAAACCTTTCATAAACCTCTGTGGCATGAACATACTCCAGCCAAGTTCTTTGCAGTGGTGTGGCAAGTGTGGCCTTTACTGTAATTTCCCATAGAAAACCACTCATTCACACCAGTGTTTTGATCATAACCACCTATCCCACCTGTAAGATATTCAAGCTCTTCCCTAGTCTTTGTGTCTTCTTCTAAACCCTCATCAGAATTTAGCCATTTTATAGCCTGCTCTTCCAAATTCTTCCCATCTGTGCCCCATTTCCAAAGCCACTTCCACATTTTAAAGTATTCTTTACTAGCAACAGCCTTTTTTTATCAGTACCAATTTTCTATATTAGTCTGATTTATGTTTCTAATAACACAACACCACAAAGTTATAAAAAAGAGGTTTATTCAGGCTTACAGTTCTGGTTGAGTGGCTGTATCCCTTAATAGCCTTCTTGCTGGTGGAGTCCTAAGGTGGTACAGAGCATCACATAGCAAGAGAGAGTGTGTGTGTCTTCTGTTCTTTTCTTATAAGGCCACTAGTATTCAATTATGGGAGCTGCACTTTAATGACATTATCTTGTCCTAAAGACCTTCCCAAAGGCCCATTTCTAAATATCATACTTAGACTAATTTCTACCCTCTTAATATCTCACAATGAATATTAAACTGCAATATTACTTTCATAGGTAACAAATCACATTCAAACCACAGTATTTATCCTTGAAATCTCAGTTTAATTGATGTCTTTATTACAGAATTTTGATTTTTTAATCATCACATCTATCCTTTATATATCGACATCATACCTTTATATATTACCACAGTTGTAATATAGTGGATGCTGTCATACTTATTTTCTTTAAACATTTAGGATTTTTAGTTAACATCGATCTCCTTCACAAGGCACTGAGGTACATTGTGGCAGAAAGTGCATTTAGTTTTCCTCTCTAAGTTACCTCCCTCCCCGCCATGAAGCTATCCTTGAATATTCTATCCCTCATTATCTCATGTCTTCTTAAATATATAGGTAGAATGATATAGTCCTTAATTGTATACTATCTGAATAAGCTTTCCAATTTCTCTGACATAAATTTTCTCTTCTCAATTAAATTATAAATTCCTTGAGAGTCAGAACCATATTTTATTTTTAAATGTTATTTATAGTAGTAGTCAAAGAATTAAACACATATTTTCTCTCAAGGATTACTGTTCATTGTTCTCTAACAATGAGATTGTCTAATTCACACGTATAAGTGGGAGAGAAAGTGTCCTTTAGGTCATACTTGGCAAATAAATAGGTAAAGTTATGACAATTGGAAATAATTATAACTGAAGACAAGGTTCATTAAGATGTGACTATCATATTCTTTTAAAATGAAGCATCTGTGATTGAAGGCTTCTGATGGATCACATGACAGACACAGTTTTCTTCTTTTTTTCCATTTATATATTTATTGCCTCCTTGTTTCTAGCAATATTTAGATGTTCCAAAGGACAAGTGCTCTAGGATAAAGGGACATTGTCTTTCCCCTCTTTATGCAGGGCATTTTTGACTATATAAGAGCAGAGAATCTAAAACTTTCACATATTTAAGAATCGCATGGAAACCTAGTTAAGTCAAGGATATATGGTTCCATCTTAAGGACTGTTTTAGTAGGCCTGAGGTGAGATGTGAGAATTTGTGTTTCTAATATCCAGTGATACTGATGGGGTTAGTCAGCTGAGCTGAATTAAAAATGCAGATCATTCTATTCACCTGTCATATATGACAAATTATAATAAACTTTAAAAAAATGCAAGGCATTCTGATATTGGCCAAATTATATTATTATATTGTGTGTATGCATAAATATGTAGCAACACATCCCATAATTTTGTACAACTACTACACATCAATAAAAATGTAGAAAAAAATGTAGGGAATTCTATCAACCATAACTTTATCACTCTTTTCCATCTCTTTTCATTTTCCTTCCCATTTTATTGAGAATTGGAAGATTTCTTTTTCTCATGCAAGATAAAGTCTACACTTACTCTTTGATCTCTTAAGAACAATACTTCCTTCAGCCAAGACAGTTCTGTCCCTCTCATGCTTTCACATTTCTCCCTAGATTGGATCATCTTGATGATTTTGCTTGAATACTCTAATTCTATGTCCATCTTTGGCTAATTCATACATAACATATATTGTTCACATTGGATCTCAGGGCAGGTGTGGTTCACTATTGAGGCTGAGTAATATTTCAGCATCTAAGTGTTGTGAGATCCTATTCATCCATCTGTGAAATTTCATCCTCTGATGGACCAATCTGAATACCCTGAGGTATCCTCTAAACCTCAACAGCTCTTGCTACACTTTTCTGTGACTTAAAAAAATACATCAAACCCTAATTATTTCCTGCACTCATTACTTTCCAATGTTTTATTTTCCATATTCTCATGAACCCTGTTAAATTTTTGAAATTATCATTCCTCTGAAATCACTCTTGTTAATATCAAAATTCAATGGTCAGTCTATATTTGGTCTCTTAATAAGACTTAATGCAGTTAATTCTTCTCTATTTCATCTTTTTTTACATGGGTTTATGTGATACTGGGGATCCATTATGCACCTCATACATGCTGGACAAGTGCTCTACCATTGAGCTTCACCCGCAGCCCATTTCAAACACTTTCTTTGTAATTTTCAGAATACACACAATACTCTTATGG